CCCCCCCCCAACCTCTTCACTATTTCTCTATTATGTTGTTGTTGTTTGTTTGTTTGTGTTTGTTGGGTTGTGATTATATAGGGGCTAATATGCTGGTATGGTATAGATCTTCGATACTACCTTCTGCGGCGACTGGGCTGGTAATGTCTGGGGTTCGGGCAGTTGTGCGTCCGTCGCTAGCTCATGTAGTGATTATGTGGCGAATAATCCGGAGGCTTTTGCCGAGGCTTATTGGATTATTAATTCGTTGAAGGTTTATCAGGATGATGGTGATGATGATGATACTGTTGCTGGGGTGGTTGATTATGGGGATGATGAGGATGACGACGACAATGACAATTCGGATGATGATGATTCGGATGATGACGATGATTCAGACGACGACGATGATGATTCTGATTCTGATGATGATTCAGACGATGAGGACGACGACGACGACGATGATGATTCAGACGATGAGGACGACGACGACGACGATGATGATTCAGACGACGATGATGACGATGAGTCTCGTCCCTGGAGAGGTGGAGGAGGAGGAAGAAACCGTCATGGTTCGAAGCTGTACGCGTCGACGTCGACCTCGTCGTTCCCTAGTCCGTCGTTTGTGAGAAAGACAAAGTGGGAGAGGAGGAATCCGATGGCGGGGATGATTTTCTAGATTCCTCGTCTGTCTCTCGTCTGAATCCGTTCATTTCATCTTCATCTTCATCTTCAGCTCTGTTTTCCCTCATTTGATTCATTGATTGATGCGTTGGTTGCCTGGGATTGCGGTCATTCGTTTTGTATGCTTGATCGGTTGACTGTCGTTTTGATTTCACTCTTTCGGTGCATTCATGCATGCATGCATGTATAGATCTGGATCTATACGTGCATAAGCTACATCATAGTAACTATCTTCTTTTCCTGGGGTATGTACTAGTCGCTCGCTTCATCACTACTTACTATACCCGTCACTCGTTAGAACGATTTACTCTAATTGAAGTTCATATTTCCTTCTTTCCATTATCCCTTCTAATACGACTGCTCCAAAAGACAAACCCCATAGACATGGTATATAAACAAAACAAGCATCATTAATCATTACATATCCAGTCGATATCCCAACACATCTCGCTGATCATCAGTAATCCGTCCCCACTCAAGCAACAACCGGAAGAAATAAATCTCCATATCTTCCTTGCGAATCACCCGGTTCGCCCATTTCCGCCCCTCCTCGGCAATCCAAGTCCCCTCGATATCGTGCGGCGGCATGTGGACGTGCCGTGTGGCGCCATTTACGGTGAGACTTGTGTCCACACCGGCGAAATATGCCAGGGTGCTCCATAACCCGTGCAGACGGAGGTCGATCGGCACGAAGTGTAGCCAAGGGGTGATGCGTGAGTCGAACCATTGGCGGAACAGACCTGTCTTGAATGGGAGGCTGTGGCTTTGCATGAAGGGGAGGAAGCGGCCGCTGAAGCCGGCGCCGTCCGAGTCGAATAAGTAGCGGTATTGCCAGTGGGATTGGAAGTCGACGCGGGAGGCGGCGCCGAGTTCTTTGCTTTGGTCATCGCAGTCTTCTCTGCGGCAGCGGACGATGGGGTCGATGACGTTGACGGAGGTGTCGAGGTGGAGGATGTCGGAGGGGACGCGACCGTTGAGGACTTCGTACATGTAGGTGTCTGTTTCGTTGGTGGGGAGGAAGACGGAGACGCTGTTTAGGGTGTTGTTGTTCACGAGGTGGGCGAGGCGTTGGCGTGGTATGCCTTTCCATTCGCCGTGGTTGCTCACGCCTTCGGAGGTGCTGCCGATCCAGAAGAGGGTGTTGGCTTTGTCGGTGTAGTTTGCGTCGGGGTGTTCTTCTGATGGCTTGTATTCGATCTTGTCGACGTAGTTCCAGGGACTGGGGAAGATGATGTCGTTGAAGCCGGCGATTGTGCTCTGGCTGAAGACGGGGGTCAAGTCTTGTGTGACTTTGAAGGATGCTGGGGATAGGAAGAACCCGTGCAGAGAGGCAAGGTCGGGCTGGTGGCAGATGTCTGTCGCTGCCGCCCAGTCGGATGGGAATTCTCCCAGCGAGTGGGGGCGAACGCAGCTGAGGCAGATGTGTCGGCGGTCCCAGATGCGCTGACTGCGAGCTTTGGAGGAGGGTGGGCAGGTGGAGCTCACGTAGCGGTCGAAGATGTGTTTGAAGGAGTTGTCCACAAACATGGTTTCTGTCGTCTGGTCGGCCGGCTCGATTGGTCCCCATTGAGCACCGCGATCAGTAGACCATTCGGTCCTGATGCTGTCCTCCGGGGGTAGACCGTAAGACCTCGCTTGGTGGCGCAGGACTGAGACTTTCTCCCAGGGAACTGAAACCCGCGGCTCATCGTTCAGGTTGAATGCGAGATCCATATCGGGGAGGAACTCGGCGAATTTCTCAATCATCTTGGAAGCGCTAATCACCATCCACGCATGCGTGGGCTTGATACCTTCCTGCACTCGAGCTTTACCGTCGCGGATGCTGATCGCACCGATCTCATTGTAAGGATTTGTTGCCAGCTTCTGCGTCATGTCTCGGATTTGCGCAGGTGGCAATGCACGGAAGGGTAGAAGGTCGTTGTAGATTTGATCGAACTCATCCACGACTAGGGAAGATCGGTTGACAGCATATTCGTACCACTTATCAAAGTTCCTGGCTTAGTTAGCTTTAACTGGAATATGCAATGGTGGGACGACGCACGGTGGTGGATGTTGATTGTATTGGGCGCGGTACTTCCTCACAGCATCGGCGAGAGTCTGGCTGCTGTTGGCCTGCGCAAGCCATTGATTATGGTGCTGTCTCCCGTCGTACACAAGCAAATCAATAGGATGTAGATGCGCCGCGCTATGCTGCTGGTGCACCAGGATGAGGCCGATTGCAGCGAGAAAAGCGAAAGCAATTCGCATAGCCAGGTTGAACCGATATAGGAATTGCGCTTCATCTTCTGAAGCCGTTCGAGCATAAAGATAGGCTACCGCTCCCGCAAAAATGAAGAAAAGAGCCGCGAAAGCGCGGGAGGCGAAAATCAATGGAAACGGATGTTGTCCGTTAAACAGAGTAGACGCCCAAGTGAAGTAGAGCGTGACGAAGCCAGCCAGCACGGCCAGCCCAGCGATACCATAGTACGGGATCTAAGCAGTCAGCATATGGCCACAATACACGGCTTCCCAGACTTACCAATTGGGACGCCGCAGCGACCACACAAGTCACCAGCACTGCTTGACCCACCGCACTGCGTAGATATTGAGCGCTGATGAAGCGGTCGTCGCCGTCGGAAGTGGCGACGAGGATTATTACAACGATGGTGTAGAAAATAGCCACTCCCTTCAGACCATGGTCAGTTTAGTTCGAGAAACATGCCACATTGACGCACCAGTAGGCTGTAGGCCCAGGAAGCCAAAGGCGGCTTCCTGATGCTCTCCCCCGACCGGGATCCTTCGCTCGCCAATTCAGCCGCACCAATCAAGATCAACAAGTCGAGAATGAGGCTGAAGACCGTGAAGACACGCATGCGCGTATGTAGACTGGAGGTATTGGGGCAGATGTATGTTGACTGCAAGCCACGATTGAACGTTACGGTGATATATCCGCCTGTCAGGAGAAAAAATGCCGCTATGACATATCTCAGGCGGCTCTGAAAAAGGAAATTGTGCATGCGACTGGCAAAGGTAGCTATGGTACGCAGATGCGCATTCTGCGGGCGCTCTGGGGCGGACCATTTCGCAACCGGTCGATTGCGTTGATTGCGCCAGTAGTCATAGAGGGCCAATAAGAAAGGTATGGTGTACTGCGCAAGAAGTCGAGTTAGCGCTATCGCCTAAGATCTAGCTTTTGGCTATTTACCGCGTATCCATCCGGCGCGCATTCAGTATGAAAAGTGAGGTCGCGATGCAAAGCGATCCGGACGCATCCAAGGACCGAGAGTAAACCTAGTCTGATCCATCGCGCCGAACTGCGCGAGCGAGTGAGGGCCAAACTACTGTTGCTGTCCAAGCTGATCGGCGAGAATGGCTCTTCGAGAGATTGATCGCGTTCGGTGAGTGGGATGGAGGAGTATTTAGGTGCAGACGATGCGATCTTAGGTATGCGATGGATGAATCGGCTCAGGATCAAAAGACAGATTCCCGCAAAGTAGCAGGCCAATACGGCTGTGATGAGGGGGTGATCTAGTAGGGCGTAATTAGCCTTCAGGATTAAGACCGTTCGAACCGGCGGCCTACCGAAAGCGAATGTAGTCTTGTAAGACGTCGAAATAAAGGTACAGCTTAATAAGAATACCCTGTGCGTTGCGTCAGGTCGCTCCGTTGAGTAACAGAGATGGGCATACTTGGTGGTATAACGGGTATGCTTATACTCACCCTATGGCGGCCTTGAGGCCGGTCTCAGCAGAGAGAAATACCATGACGCCAAAGGAAAGTTATGGGTAGAGAAAGCTAATAGCCATCATGGTTTGAATGACATTCACATCATGCAGCGCACAGGCAAATTCCGGCGCAAGAAGAAAGATCCGTAAGGGAGTAAGCAACTGTGGTGCCTGGCTGGGGGATGCCGCAAGGAGGTGGAGCCGTCAGTTTAACGTCCTGACTAGGGCCCCAGGGGGAAGATACACTTCCAGTAGAATGAATGAATGGCGTGTGCCCTCCGTAGTTTATGTTTGAAAGGTGTGGAGGAGAGAAAGAAGGGGGAGAGAAGAGGAATGACAAAGGGAACGACAACAACAACAACAACCAAGAACATATCCTTCGAATATCATTCCCAGCAAGAGATAAGGGGAATTACTTGTGTATGCCCGGGATTCGAGGGGATTGCGTCAACGAAGGGGTCTGGCCCACGGCTCGCGTCCATCATGGCCATCCTCATTCCACCACACGGGAGGAACTTGTCTTTTAGTGTCCAGATAGCTGCACTGCCCATTGCCTTGCTCGAGCACGTCAGCACTCCGTCTGTCTCTATCCCACGACGATCATCTTTCTGGTCGAATGACAGGCCAAGAGTTACCGCTCAGTCCTTCAGGTCTATCAGAGGTGGTGTCACTGAATACGTACTCCATGTAGATGCGCAAGACACACAAAATGAAACGGTCAGTCAATCCTGAAAGGAACCGAAAAAAAAAAGACATGGCAGGTTGCAGCGCTTAGCGTCAGGGTCCAGCCATTCCATGATCCATCTTTGGTTCCATCTTAAGGGATGATCCTCTCCCCGATCGGGCAATCTCCCCTCCCGTGTGCCCCTCTGCATGGCATCATCAATCCTGAAAACTCTGGATCTTCCAGGGAGTCCAAGAGTCAAACTTGAGCCAACTCATCCAGTCAACGTTGGCAGGGACTGCGCGAATATCCTGGCGGGCGGGTAAAGCGTGGAGACTCCGTGGGGACTCGAGCTGAGACGGATTGAGGGTTGAGACTGATCTTCCTGCCTGCCCTGTCTGCCTTCTTCCGGTGGAAAATTTCACCCTTCCACCATGAGACCCTAGAAGAACAAAGTCCTACATGAGATGTAGGTTTACCATTAATACTAACAGCATTGGCTCATCAATAACTACATAATATGAGAATGAGTCTTTATTAGAGTAAGTTATTGTAGAACAAACAAGAACCAATCGCTTCGCATGCATACAAATCCTGATCATGTTCAATATCTAGATAGTCAATGTAGATGCCTGTAGTCTCAGGAATGCAATAGCGACTCTGTTAACATATCCAATGCTCCTATTAGGCATAAGATCGCGTGCTATACTTGAATTTCATGATCAACTGGTCAATAATGGTCACCTCCCTGTTCCTGTCAGATGACTATCACGTGACACAACTCGAGTCAGGAACCACAAGTCCAATGCCTCAGGCAGCATACTAGGCGGTATCCCAAACAGAAAGCGGTCCCATGCGGCAATTCTGATTTTCGGCGATAACTTTTTTTTGTCGGCGAGAAGAATCGCAGAGTACATCGGCAGTGTGAGTTTCAGTTTCTCTACCTGGCCGTCCGT